TGTTGCCCTATGCCGCTCGAGGTAAGGAGGGCCTTGTCAGTGCCGGGCGGGTGACTCATTAGGGCCATGCAATGTCGTGCGAGTTGCCTACCTGACCTGTTGCACCGAGCGGTAGTTGCCCGCCGGCACGCGACACGGGGGATGCTCAAGTCAAGCCCGACCCGACCTTGCTTTACATACCGCGAACAAACGAGGCGACCCCAATGGACGACTGAGTTGACGGGCCAGCAACTACCACTTCAGTATTTTGGGACAGCTTCATGTCATAGTCGTTAAGCATTGAAGACACTGATAAAAGTGTGGAACTGGTGCAACACTTGCTAGCGTGCAACTTCAAGTTGTGCACTTGCAAGTGTGCAATTCCTTCAGACCACTTCCTAACACGGGACGCATACTATGTGTTCAGGACGTATTCACCACATTAGATCCACACTTGCAAGTGTACACCATGGTGTTGCACACCTACAAGTGTTTACCGATGATTGCACAGTTAATTTATCATTGAAATCGATGAAAAGATTGGGTGCCGTGATCTCACCTTGACGCGGAGAATCGTCCTGGTTGCCGTCGAGGATCCATAGTGTTGTTGTTGAAATGGTTGTGATGGTTGTAATGGTTGTAGCGCCGTCTAGTCATCTCTGGGGATGTAGCGGGGCTTTCGGCCGACGTCATCGGCTTGAGCATCCGCTTTAAAGTGTTAGAGTCTACACCCAAATTACCTGCAAAGCGCATTGATTATTATTTTTAAAAGCTCGACAAAGAAGATTCTTTCCAGAAAGTTTGAAAGAACAATGAAGCTGCATACACTTGTGCCCGTTGTGCCACATTAAGTTTACGGGCAGGGGCATGTTGGAGGGGGCCACCACTCCGATATAGAACGTACACAGGATTACATGATTACAGAGATTACACGTGAATTTAGATGGATTACACTTGAAATTTTTTGAATTTCTGGATCTAAAACCATTAAATTTGGGCAATAAGGTGAAATTTAGGGATAATGTTTTAAAATTTGGTGAAGTATTACTCGAAATACATGAGGATTACATAGGGATTACGCTAGTGGTGGCCCCCTCGGGCGTGGTTAACATTTTTTGCAGAGCAGGGTATCTATGTATTCCAAAGTTTCTCACCTTCTTGTGCGCGCATATCGTCAGTGCTCTTGCTCATCTTGTTAGCAGCCGTTGACCGCCGCATGCTCTGGAAGTTGTTGTTGATGTTGTTGTTATTGTTATTATTGTTGTTGTTGTACGCCATGTTGTGCTGAGCCGCCCGCAGCTCCGCTTCCCGTACCAGGTCCGCACTGTCCTGGTAGTCCATGGACTTGGTCGCCCTGAAACCACCGGGTTTATTGTTTTTGACAAGCAAAAGCCCAAGTCCCTGCTGGATTCTTTATGAAGGAGTTATAACAAATTCTAGAGTAGCAGTGGCATTGTAACGTCCGCCATTACAGGATATGCTAGCTTATTTCATTGCCTCAGTTTTGGGAGGTAACCTTGTGGTTTAGAAGACGAAAGCCAGACGACACTTACTGTAATATGTGGTGGTGCCGTTGAACACCTCCCTTCCCTGAGGCGAGCTCAGACTCTCCCACCTGGGTTCCCTCACTCTTACTGCCCTGCTCCACCTTGGTGTGACAGAAAAAAACATGCGTAAGAGGACATAGTAAACGAGATTGCATCAAAGGTTTCAAAAAGTGTCACTGAAGTATCGAAAGTTGGCTAGTCCTTTTCCGATACAGCACAGGAAAGCCAATCGCACTGTGAATCCTAGGGTGCATCTGCTGGTGTGCCATTGCGTCAACGCTACGACAGAACAGTAAACTGTTGCATATACAGGGAGGTCCACAGACCCCTTCCTTTAATTTGCTTATTACTGTACCGCTTGCAGGCGTGAGGGCGGGTTGCATATTCTCACGGGGCCGTGGGGTGCCGTGGTGAGAAATGGTGGGCAAGCATGATGCCAGCACGCCGGCATGTGGTTAAGTATAAGCAAAGTGAAGGAAGGGGTCTGTGGATCGTCCTGTATGTTGGGTTGACTACTCGCTCTACTCGTAGGGCGCCGCGATGGCCCCTAGGGATGCACACTGCAAACCCGCAACACTGCTGTGTCGTAGCCATGACACACGATATAAATCAATTAAATGTGCATGGGCTCACGCCGGAGAAATTGCCCTACATAATGAGAATATTTTTGAACTAAAACGTCACTACTCATGATAGTATTTGCTAGGTTGCAGAAGGCTCAGCAGACAGCAGCTCCAAAGTGGCTGCCTCCAAAAGGGTTGCTTGAAATCAAATTTGCAGCTGAGTTATGGGAAACTAAATGGAATATGGATAACATTTACTTTTTTAATAATAAAAGCAATGTCCTAGGCTATCTCCAGTTTATAGCAGCATTTACATACGCAATTATTATTGTGAATTCAAGTATTGGTGCAATATACAGAAAGTTTATATCAATAAGCAAACATCTTTAATTAAAGGACCAGATTTTCTAGGTACTTCAAAACGATGGACAAACTAACGTATAAGTGTAATAAGTGGAAAGTATTAAAAAGTCACACATCTTCGAGAGCAACGAGTGAACAAAAAGGACCATTAGAAACAAATACCAATCAAAGGGAAAAGTTTTCTACAAAGCACCCAGGATATGCGACTAATTCCTTTGGTGCATAACGTCGCCTAACTTAAAACAAAAAATTAGTGCTTTACTATTTTTACAGTGCGTGACAAATGGACCGGAAACAAGATTTTGAGAATGTACTCGTATATTCATTTAGTCTCCGGTGTATATTCCCCAGTGCTGGTCTGGGACATACAAAACAAACTATACCGGCAAAAAGCCTGTAGTTTACACGTGTAAATTATACGGTGTGCGCTGCTTGTTGGGCGGAATAATGCTACGGCCTCAAAACAAACATTTCATTGAAAATACGAGTTTAATTTCAAACCAGCAAGATGTGCGCATAAAAATGGGAAAGACTGAGCACGAGACGTCCCAGACAATCACTGGCGCAAGTCCAACCCTAAACCTCATTTATGTGGTAGAAGGGAATGCCCTCTACAAAACCTCCCCGTTCCTGACACACGTCTTACAACACAACTTTTACATTGCAGTTTAACAAAGGCAGGTAAAGTAAACTTTAAAACTTTTAAAAAATGTTTAAATAAACAAGGGTGCACGGCAGCAGTGCGCTTGTTGGTGCGCCTGCTAGGGCGCCTACGTACTGAAAAGCCATCGCCCGCCTGCGTCGCGGTGCAGACCTTGCCGGGGGCGGTGGTGCCCTGGGCGTGTCCACTGTGGGCCTGGCCGTGGGTCTGCGCCTGGGTGGCCGTCTCCGTCGTGGCTCTGGCCGCGGGCACAGGCTGCTGTCCTCCCTGCTGGCCAGCCTGCTGGCCAGCCTGCTGACCAGCCTGCCCACCAGCCGCGCCCTGCCCCGCCTGCTGCCCGGCCTGCTGCCCGCGGAGCGTGCCCTGTTGACCAGCAACCTGGCTGCCGCCCGCCACGCCCATGTTGTCGTACAGCGAGGTACTCGATGTGGCCGCCGCCACCTTAGTGCCATCGTCCAGGCTACGCGTTTGCGCGCGAGGCAGAGTGGATGACACTGAAACACACACGCAAAAAACAAGGTGGATTAAAATCTGCGATGATACCGTACTGAGCAGAGGGAAAATAAATATGTCCTATATAATCAGCCACAGACAAAAGTGGAGCTCAGTAGGCAAAGCCAAAAAGTACGTCTATGGACCTCGGTGGTTGTAAACACCTTTTTACTCTGGCCCCTGACCGAAAAGGGATAGCCATAGGCCAATAAATGAGTGTGCAGTACTCCTGCTTCCACACATACCCCCAAACACCAGCGCACGTTAGAGTTAAGATAATCAGGGCCACAGCCACAAATACGCGAATGTACAGCAAGACTGTCTATGCATTCAAGCGCCTTACGTGCAATGGATAGGCAGGCCCGCAGTACTCGACAGTGCAACAGTACAGCCTATCCATTTCCACAGTACCTGAGGTGGAGAGTCTCGCCACTTACCTCTGTAACGCGGGTCCTGCGCCCGCAGCCGTGCATACTGCTCGGGTGTCATACACGTGCACTGAGGTTCCCTGGCCCGCGACGGTGACGCCGGCGTCGACACGGGCTTCCGCTTCACCTTGACTTTCTGCTTGTTGGGCGGCTCCAGCTTGAGCGAGTAGGACGATGACGCCTTCCGCGAGAACTTGAAAGACGGCGACTGCAACATGGCGGGCAAGGCGTTGTACGCATGTGGAGTGGCAGGTGCCCCAGAGGGGACGGAGACCCTCGAGCAAGCCATCGACGTCCGCCACGGTCAGATTGAGTGGACACGGAGTCTTACCACCCATAACACAGCCGGGAATACTTCCTCCTGATGATACATAATAACTCGCGATGCTAAGCTCATTCGTTCTGATACTACAGTGACTTGGCGCAAGACCGTGTCTCAAGAGATAACATTTCTAGTGGAATTGAGTCCGTACTTTACGCTTCCAGGACGCAACGTGTCCTTCCTGCAACCCCACCCACCATCTATCAGGATGGCGATAGGATAGAGATCATATGTCGTGGTTTGCTCGAGGCGTCCCCAACCCATATTCTAAATCGTTCAGGCCTACAAAGCAAGTACAATCTGGCGAGCAACCTTCTTCAACGCACAAAACTATGATTATTTAAACAATATGCTGTCAACATTCTCAGACAGTACAGGAGACGTACGTAGTTCAACATTCCAATAATAAATATAATCAAGCGAAACGATTTGGTACAGTATGTGAGACTAGCCAACTCTACGAAGTAAAGATATGTTTGAAGGCATACTTCATTTATGTCCACCTGCTCACCAAAGCAAGTGGCTGTTTAGTTTCGCAATAATGGAGCAGGACTGGAGGAACCAAGCACGTCATACATCATCTCTTTTGTCTAGTACTGCTTTCACATTTGCTTACCTAAAAAAAAAAAACTTTTAACAAATTTCCTTAATATCTTTTTCCAGTCCCCCACACTTTGGTGTTATATTTTTAGTAATATTGCTAGTTAAGTGAAAGAGCATTCCATGCATTGCATTCCATATTGATTTTTGTTTATTAAACAGCCATGTTTAGATTTTCTTTTTAAAAGAACAAGATTTGAAAACATTTTTGTGTTGATCTGAATATAAGCTTAACGTGAAGTCAGACAAAAAGAAACCATGCACAATTCGTATAGAAGGTGACATTCAAACTTTCTCGACCATATTTGTACAACTACCCACCGATGAGAAAACCTGAAATAAGACACACATCAGCAGCTGCTGCCCTAGGGGGTAAACTGACACGCGAATACGCGATATAAACACGCAAAACCCCTGACAAATTCAAGGTTACGTTCACGAAACGGGACAAGTAATAACGTAGGCTCAAACATATAGCTGGACTCCTCGCGGTCCACCTCACAGCTTCAGAAGTTCACCTGGGGCCCACCTGGCTGCGAGCAGGGTGGAGCCTGGGGCTGGCGGGGTGGGCCCTAGCCGGGAGACTTGCTCGAGCATGGCTAGCCCTGGCCGGATCTTGATGGTTGTACAGCAACGCTCCTCCCCTACACCTTGTCCTCTGGGACAGCCAACGACCTGAGGGGTGGGGCCCGGCCACTGGGCCCGGCCACAGGGCCACCAACTTGATATAAAAGAATGCCGAGGGGAAGGAAGAAAGAGAGAGAAGTCGTCGTCAACGCCATAGGCAGCCCTCGGCCTCGCCGTCCCGTTGCGCCACTGGCCAGAGTGAAGGAAGGAAAATTGGGAAGTGGGAGGGGTAAGGGGCTAAGACACTTTCTAAAATGTCTACCGAGGCGCGCAGCTGCGGCCGGGTAACGCAAAGAAAAGCAGCCGCCATTTCGACTCGCGGGTTTCAGGACAAGGTGGGGTGGGGAGTCTGAAGCTGCTGCAACGAATTTCGTTTCATCCGACCAGGGGGTGCAGCAGCTTCAGCGCGTAAATCAACCGAGCCCATTAGGCCCCGGCCGACCGGTGGGGAAAGGGGGGGGGGGGTGCTTCACGGTCACCATCGCCGCGCCACCCTGGACAAAAGACATATTGTCCTTCGACACGGAAGGCGGTAGCGGGAATAAATAGGGGTGTGAAAATTAAGAGAAAGGGGTGGGGTGCAAAGTGAGGTGGGATAACACAAAGCGGGTGGGAGGCCACGAGTAGTGCGCCCATGCATGTACCAATTACAGCGACCACCGACAAACACGGCCAGTGAACAAAGTAGGAGGAAGGTACTCGGTGCCATTTTTTGTGCTCAACAGCCTATGCTTGGCAGGTTATACCAAGCCATACTAAATAGCTGCTGGATGGGATGGTTTGGGTTTGTCAGAAGCAGTGAACTGAAACTGTTTAGCTAATGAAGGTAAACAAAACTTTTTATCTCACACTGTTAAATTCCTACAAAGCATTTGCTTTGCAGAGCTGCGAAGTATTTTGCTCCTTTGTAACTACGAAGCATTTACTTTGCAATTACAAAGTGATGCTTTGCAATTGCAAAGCAATGAAAACGCTGCAAAGCATCGCTTTGCAATTGCAAAGTGTCACTTCGTAATTGCAAAGCATCACGTTGTAATTGCGAAGTAAATGCTTCGTAGTTACAAAGGAGCAAAATACTTCGCAGGCTTTTAACAGTGCAAACTTTAGCTTAATTTTCTCCGTTCAATTGGACTGAAGGGTCCATCCCACTCATGCAAGTACAACCTAACAACCGTGTGGTGTGAAGCTGTTACACACTAACCAAGTCATCTACGTCTCTCACGGCGTGCAGGGTCGTTCTCCACAAACTATACCGGTCCCAGTACCGCACCTTGTCAAAGCTAGTGGTACGTGTATACCTTGTTCGTGGAGAATGTCCGACACTTACATATACGTCACACAGCAAAAAAAAATAGAAAGAGTTGTCGTGCAGGATTGGAATATGCGAAAAAAAAGTAGAAATACGACAACTCCGCCGAGGCACCAGACAGAGAACGACGTTATGAATTGCTGGAGAAATAAACCTGAGTATCAAACAAACGCGAGTCTGAGTCTTAACGAGTAAAGTTAGCAGCATTAATGGGAAATCGTTTCTCTGCCTGTTGCCTGGGGAACTGGTCAACATTACAATGCGGAACCCAGATTGCAGTCAGGAGTACAGAAGGGCACAGGTTGGGCGCTTAGCTACACTGTTCCGAAAATAAATAATTCCCGCGTTGGTAATTGACGTACATGCCTCTTATATGACTGAATTAGGTTGAAATGTAAGTAAGAGTAGACTGAACAGTGAAGAATACTACTCGCAAATGGCAAAAAACGAGTTGTAAAAAGAACACATGACCCGCCGAGGCCGCTAGCCTTGACCAAAAACCAAACCGCAAATGTAAATAGGAATAAGCACCACAGAGGGGGATGACAACAGTCGGGAATGTTCGGATCACCGTAAAGCAGCAGCAGCAGCAGCATCAAGCACACCACCCAGCCACCTGTACCCTGCGCAGCACTCTGGGCGTCCCAAAATGGGTTGAGGATTACATGAGTGGTGCTCTGGGCGCGGCTCGGCGCGCGGCTCGGCGCGTTGGAGGAGTGGGCGGACCCGCTGGCGTTGCGCGTCAGGGGGGCACTGGCCATGCCGCGGCAACGCGGACCCCGGATACTCACGCAGCACTCGCGGAACTGCTTCGCGTCGATGGGCGACGTGAAGTTCAGTCCCCACGTGTCGTTCGTCATCGGATCCTTCCAGTACACGAAGCATTCGGACGCCTGCCCAATGCGGGTGCCTGTCGGAACACAAGTTTACGTTCAACTAGTTTCGAACAAAATTCAGAGACGAAAAATTTACCCACGCATTTCTGGGTAAAAGGTGGCATTCTCATTGATTTGCAAATGCAATAAAATAGTAAAAATGCACTCACAAGTTGTACCATCAAATCCAATTTAACAGAAAACAGAGTTATCTTTTGCTTTGCTCTATAGATAGATTTATCTTATCAACTCACCTGGCTGCACTAACCGTACGTCGAGTATTTTGTCGACCTGGCTGTTGTAGGCCGTAATGTGGAACACGCATTCTGGTTGGTCTTGTATACAGGTGATATTCACGGGGACCAGGTCTTCTGACACCTGTTGCCATTTTACCGTGCCGGCCCCAGAGGCACTTACGTGGAATACCTCCGCCCACAGCCTGTGGAAAGATAACGACAGATATAAACGGGCCGCCTACAGGAAAGGGTAAACGGAGGAGATGAGTACAATAGTTTGTACAGCATAGGGAGAAATAATTTTTCGAGCCAGTTCTTCCCAGACAAAAACAGTAAAGTAAGATAGCTGGAAGATCAAATTATGTTGGAGGCGTAAAAGCCCACTCGAGCCCACTTGACAACAAACTAAAATTATCGTTAGTGGGAGTTCAGCTATCACAAAACGTCCGAAGCGACAAGAAGACTTTGATTTCAATCTCCCTTTCAACCCTGGCTACACCCAGAAAAGTGAATTCTTGTTTTAAGTACTTTTGAACTGAAAGTTTCTCAAGCTTTTTTTTCTTGATACAAATAAGACTTTCCTCTTAAAGTTAGAATATTTCCTCAAAAGCAAGGTAATATCAACTTTCATTAAGAGTAATATTGTTCTTACTGTGAAAACCAAAGTGTGTACTTAAATGCAGTACCTCCTGCATACCAAATGTATGCAGGAAGTACTGAGTACTTGAAAAGTATGCAGGAGGTAGTGTGTACTTGACGTAGTACACACTAAATCTCCTGCATAAATGCATGGAGGTTTAAGTGTGTGCTTGATCAAGTACACACGATTTCCTGCAGACTTGACCAAGTACACACTACCTCCTGCTTACTTTACAAGCACCTCCTGCATGAATATAGGGATGCAGTAGGTACTGCCTTCAATTGCACACTTGGGTTTCCAGAGTAGGACGAAATGAACTTGAAATAAGAAAACAGTTCACCTCAGAAGGTGGCCGTCTCTCCGGCGGGAGCCCTGCCATGGCGAGTCCTCGTAGCGGTATGCCTTCCGGATGAGCGGCGCGCAGGAGCAGCTCAGCTTGTTACCCATCGCATCGACTGCTCCCCCCTGCTGCCGTCACCACATGTTTGGGTCTCCTCCCGGCTGCAAAACAGAACAAAAGTACCGTCACACTCGTCACATCGTGCCAGTGGTGTGCCGCAGCTCACAGCGGCCTTGTTGCTTCTTTCCTCGGGGCCAGTCTCGTCACTGTGTATTTGCCCATCGTTAGGCGGGGACTAGGAGCGACGTTTTGCGAGAAAATGAAGAGCGAGGGGCTAACGAAATCCAAGCTTTTTGCCATGTTTCTTCAAGTTTTCCGACTGAAAGAGGGGGAGGGGTAAGGGAGCGAGAGAGCGGGCTACCATCTGAGGAAGCCAAGTCGACGCGGGCAGGGCGACGCCACGCCCCAACGACAGTTCCCATTGGCAATAAAGGCCCCGTCCCACTGACGTCGCTGCAGCCAAAGGATTCCCCGTTTAATTTTCACCGCCTTCGCTCTCCTTCATCACTCCCTGCAGGGCGGCCCGACAGGCCTACTTGGCTTTCTGTTTGCTGTTTCGGCCACGCTCGGCCACGCCTACAACGCCCCTGCGAGTTCTCTCCCTCCCCCGCACCGCACACGCCCTCAGTTTGCACCCCCCCCCCTTAACCTCAAGCAGCAGGAGCGCCCCACCCTGCCCGTCCCACGAGTTCTCCGTGTCTATGTCCCCGAATGCCAAATTCACTATTCAAATTGGCGTCCCTCTGACGCGCCCACACACATGTGGGACGGAGATGACTTGAGAAGGAGCCCAGAGCACACTGTGGAATCCTTGCGAACCTGCAGGTCCTGTTTATCGGAAGACCTGTACAAAGACCTGGAGCCGATATAATGGACTCCAGCACATTAAACTACACACTGCAGGATCCGTTACACAGATCAGTGGATTTACATTATCACAAGATTAGAGCACCCGAGTAAAGTTTAGATCGGTCGTGTCGTTTGAGGCCTCCACCCGAGAGCCGCTTGTCTTCCCTCCCTCGCATCTGAGTCTGAGCGATATTACACACTACACACCACAGTTGGGCGCAGAAGTGGGCGTCAAAGTCAAAACGCGTCCAAAAACCCCACACTAGCGCGAAAGCCCCGCGTTTGCCCCACACTATTCGACATGGCGCACCACACATGGGACCAAGAACAACCACTCCATATGGGGACCGCCACGACATGGCAGACCAGCTGGCCCGAGCGTCCCACAAGTCCGGTAGTGCTCGACGCTGCTGGACACACGAGCTCAAGCAAAGAGGGGTGTAGGGGGTGTGAGAGAGGAGGAGGGAGCAATGAAACATCACGATCTTGAATCACGTGCAAAACAGGCACCCACAGAGAAACTTATTCATGCACCTTTGTATTTCATGCTGCTTTGTCAAGCCTTTAGTTATTTACAACAAAAAATATTAATTACACAGCTAGTGTGAGAGGGGTGTGAGGCTATGGGAAAAGTGCATTTTGAGCATGAGATACACTCTCAATTCCTGGCGATTTTATCCATAATCCAAACATTGCTCGATTTGGAAGAG